GCCTTTGACAGGGTCTCTCAAAAGCTTTTAAGCAGGACGGCCATTGTAAGCTCAGGGCTCAGTGTCGGGGGTCTCAGTGGACCCCCTTGATTTTCATGCACACCTGGTCCTGGGTGGCCAGGCTGGCAGCTCTCCTGCCCTAGACGGCCACTTTCCTGTGCCTAGTGCGGAGATCGTGGACCCGCTCTCCTCTGTCTCCATTGGAGATGCACGCTCGTCCAGGCCCTGCCCCCTGGGTGTGTATATCACCTCCCCACCCCCCTTCTCCTCCCTCCGTGGTGCTAGGCTGATTTCTGCTCCACTCAGTCAGGCCGCTGCGTGGGAACAAGCAGCACAAATGGCCTCTCTTCTCCTCCTACTGCCTCGCTCTCTCTCTCTCTCTCTCAGCTCTCATCCATCTCCTGCCTCTCTCTCTGCCTCTCTCTCTTTCTCTTCTCCCCCTCCCGCTTTTTACTCTGTGTTTCTTTTCTCCTCCTACTGCTGCATCTCTTACTCTCTCTGGGTATGTCTACACTACAAAGTTAGTTCGAACTAACGTAACTTTAATAGGTGCTACACTAGCGCTCCGCTAGTTCGAATTTGAATCGAACTAGGGGAGCGCTTAGTTCGAACTAGGTAAACCTCATTTTACGAGGACTAACGCCTAGTTCGAACTAGCTAGTTCGAACTAGGCGTTAGTCCTCGTAAAATGAGGTTTACCTAGTTCGAACTAAGCGCTCCGCTAGTTCGATTCAAATTCGAACTGGCGGAGCACTAGTGTAGCACCTATTAAAGTTAGTTCGAACTAACGTCCGTTAGTTCGAACTAACTTTGTAGTGTAGACATACCCATAGCTAGTTAAAAGATAGGAAACAAAGGACAGGTATAAATGGAGTTTTCAGAATTAAGAGAGGTAAATAGTGATGTCTCTCAGGAGTAAATTCTGGGACCATTCCTATTCAACGTATTCCTAATGATCTGGAGAAAGAAGTCAACAATGAGGTGGCAAAATTTGCAGATAATTCAAAACTACTTGAGATAGTTGAGTCCCAGGCAGACTGGGAAGACCTTCAAAAGGACCTCACAAAACTAGGTGAGTGGGCAACAAAATGCAAGTGAAATTTAATATTGATAAATGCAAAATAATGCACACTGGAAAACGTCCCAACTATACATATAAAATGAGGGGGTCTAATTTTGCGGTTCCCACTCACGTGATGTTGGAGTCATTGTGGATTGCTCTCTGAAAACATCCAATCAATGTGCAGAGGCAGTCAAAAAAGCAAAAAGGATGTTGGGAATAATTAAGGAAAGAATAGATAAGATTAAATATCATATTGCTTCTCTATATAAATTCATTGTAAGTCCACATCTTGAGTACTGCATGCAGATGTGGTCTCCTCATCTCAAAAAGATACCTTAGTTCAGAAAAGGGCAACAAAAATGGTTAGGGACTTTCAACTTAGTCATCTTTTTTCTAACTAGAGATAAGATTGAGGTCTATAGAATCATGACTGGTGTTAAAGAAAGAATCTAAAAAGCTCTATTTACTACTTATAGCATGAGAGCTAGAGGTCATCAAATTAATAGGAAACAGGTATAAATAAATAAAAGAACTAGGTAAATTCAGGTAGGCTAGTTCCATTAATGGCTATTGACCAGTATGGTCAGTAATGTCGTGCCTAGTGTCTTTTTGCCAGAAGCTGGGAATGAGTGACAGAGGATGGATCGCTTGATGATTACATGTTCTATTCAGAAGACAGACTACTGCAATTAATGTGTTTTGAAGTTCACTTGAAACTTCAGCAGAGATCTATCAGCAGTTTGTCCAAAGCTGTGAAAATGGGTTTGTGTATGTATTCGTTGTATCTTGTACATTTCTCTTTGGTCCAGTATTAACTATTTTGGCTATTATGATTTATGTTTCACAACTTGTCATCAGAATGAGCCGGTTCTTAATCAGTAGCTCAAAACAGTCAACCACTGAATTTCATCTTGTGTCTTGGGCAAAGAATTACTTTGGCGCCTCCTGTTGTAGTCAGTGAATTTGAAGCAAAGTGGTTGGTATCAGAAGTATTTAGTAGTTTCAATGTTTTCTTTCATTCCTGGAGTTGTACATAAGAAGTCTTTGGCAAAAATGTGTATCAAATAAGCACTGCACTCTTATGTTGTAAGTTTCGGGTTCCCTTTATAATCTTGTTCCAGATGTCTTCTCATCTTTGATACATTTGTAAAATTATATGGCAAAGCTATACACTTGACAGTTGAATTTTTGTTTAGTTTGTTATAGCTTTTATTGCTGGGTTTTTTTAGGTGTTCTGTTGTCTGGGCATGTCCAGAGGTCTCAGTTGTTTCTGTAACATAGACAAGCTCATCTTCTGTTACACAATCTCATATGACTGGCTCATTGTATATGTTGCTCTACCTATTAAGACAAAGATTAATGAATTTCCCATCAGTGTTTTTTCACTATGTTCAATTTGATGTTGTATCCAGCAACCTTCCAGCAATGACTTCTCCGCTGGGTAGAGTGTAATGTAGTTGTAATGATGGAACAATGTCAGTGAAATGTTCGTTCAGAAGAAGATGAAAGGGAGAATTTATCGGAATCTTTTCATCTATGGAGTCTTGCTAGAATGTGCTAGTTCTGATTATGAATGCATCCATGGTTTTACTGGATGTTGGAAGAAAGTCTTATTACTATTATAATTTAATTGTTCAGGTAACTTCCTATCTTGAGGCATAGACGCTGACTTTGTGAGTGCTCTGGGGCTGGTGCATAATCTCTGCCCATTAGCTGTTTGGCAGCTGGCAGGAGGTGGGAAGAGGGGTTGGAGCTGGGAGTAGGGCATGGCGGGAAGAGGTGGAGTGGGGCCACGGCCTGTGCATGGAACATTGGTGGAGCACGGACCCAGACAAATAAAAGTCAGCACCTGTGATTTGAGGTATGTTGAGTTGCAGCACTGCTAGTTATGTCAGCAGATGATTCTGGAGTTGTAATATGTTGCAGACAGATGTTGATAACCCTGAGACCTAAACTGGACCCTGAAACAAAACATTTTCTTTTAAAGTCACTGACTATTACTCAAAGCACTGCTTAAAAAAAAAAAGATTTTAAATTAGCAATTCCACCTCCTGCGGCTATTTGTTCTACTGTTTAAATGATACAATTATTCCAAATCAAATTAGGGAAGATAATGCCTAAATCATAAGGATTATCTGAACACCTGTATTTAGCAACATATATAAAACAGCTTGGACTTTTTTTTTAATTAAAACTTGTAAATGTGTAATGAAACTTTACTTTTAAACAAGAAACACATGCGTAGGATGTTTAATTATATTGACAGAAGTCCAGTATAATTAGTAAAAATATAATTGATAAATGCTCCCACTATAAACTAATATACAAATTATATTTGGAAATTCATAAGCAAACCACCCCAAACACAGATTTATTATGAAGTATGTTATCATTACTAGCGCAGTAGGACATGGTAGTCAGTCCATAACAATGGTGGAAAAATAAGTTACTAACCAGTTGATCCAGATAGTTCAGACATGGCCACATCAAGAAAATCATTGCCTTTTGAGAAGCATTTTTCATTGCACTGTTTCATTCTGATAAGCAGGCTTCACATTTCTCTTCACTGTTCACATTTGGCACATGTTCCATTTTTATCCTGAGGCACAACAATTTCTCGAAAATTACCACCAAGTAAGGGCTTTTTATGGTCTGAGCCATAGCAGTTTTTTTTCTCAAATTCACAGGTGTTGAAATCAGGCTGTACTCTGAATAATCTTGTCCCTTCTTTCCATAAGCTTTGACAAGAATGTTGCTCCTTTGCTGTTGCATACTCTGCTCCTTCTCCCTTGTTACAGAACTCAACCCCCAGCAAAACAAACACTGGAAGACTTCTGCCCATATATAACCCACAAGCCTTTTACACTGCAGTATTTTTATTTCTTTGAAGACAGAGGCTATGTCTACACTCTGGAGTTTTTCCGGGATCCGGCCCCCTTTCCCCCCAGCAGACCAGGCTTTTCTCCGGACGCCTGTGGTAGAGCAGCTGGGGCGCTGCCGGTTGGTCCCGCAGCTGCTCTGGGCGCTACTCGACCAACCCGGCAGCACCCCAGTTGCTCTGCCCCGGGCTTCCTGGAATCAGCCGCTGATCAGTTTCAGCAGCAGCTGACTTGGGGACGCCTGGGGTTCTTAAGTTGAATCTGTATGTAAGTCGGAACTGGCGTCCAGATTCAGCCTGTTGAAACTCTGCCTCGGGCTTCCTGTAGTCAGCCGCTCTTCAGTTTCAGCAGCGGCTGAATCTGGACGCCAGTTCCTACTTACATACAGATTCAACTTAAGAACAAACCTACAGTCCCTATCTTGTACGTAACCCGGGGACTGCCTGTACTAACACTTTTAAAATTAATATAGTTTATGCATGTGAATGAGCCCTCCTGCCTCATTCTGACTGGGGTAGATAGCGTGTTCTAATGGTGCTAACTCCATGGTGCAATCTTGAAATAAAAACCGTGATTAAATCTGCATTGGCAGGCTGTAATTTACAAACTAGTTATAAATATACATCTAAATGAAGCGCAGGGAGTTACCAGCTTCTCTCCTGCCATGTCTTCCATATATTTGACAGCTGGAAAATGAAAATGTAAGTAATTTTGTAACTCTGGTCTTGTAGCATCACTATGTTGGATTTTAAATAAATGTTGATGAATGTAAGATGACCGTATTCTGTTACCTGCAATGGTTAACCATCATATGGCTTCTTCAACTTTAGAGTCTTCTATGAACAAATAATATGCTTGTATTAACTGACTAGCTTAGGAGTTGCATCAAGCAGAGGATAATGCAATCAGCTAACGTTTACTAATCTAATATTCCATGAACTGCTAACCTCCCTTGTTACATTCTTTTCAGGGCTGCTTTTTAATATCTTCCACCAAAATACCCTCTATTGATCTTTGGCCTGCCTAGATTAATTTTTTTGTTTTTGTTTTTTTTGCAGGGGAAGTCATAATATCCACTTAATTCAATGAAAATGGCCTTTAGCAATCTGACATCAAAAGCTGCATTGCTTTATGATGAATGGATTAAACGTGCTGGTGAGTCATGAGGATATAATGTCCACTAATTTTAAGGCTTTTCAACAGATGCGGAGTTGTGTTAAGCATAATTTTGTACAGCTAACTTAAAATATCATTGTCTTCCTTTAATTATACCTAAGTTGCCAAGCTGCATATTTACATCTTAAATGTAAAGAAAAGTAGTATAATGTCATGCAAACTTTAAAGATGGAACTTTATAAAAGTTGATTTGCTAAGGATTTAAAACTTCAGACTCTGTACGTAATGGCTCATCTGAAAAAGATCTCTACTATCACCAGAATTGCACTTTCACATTTTGCAGTTTTAGTGGGGCAGTCTGAAACTTTAATTTTACTTAATTTAAATGAAATTATATTTTATTTCTTAATTTAAAGTATTCTGTTGCAACGTGTTGTATTTTGTGCTTCCTCATACCAAAGTAGCAAGTGCAAGAAAGTGTGAACTTTGATAATGTATCACTCGTATCTAGTTCCTGTTTTGAAAGGGAGTATTTGTACTCTCACAAAGTTCAGGTAATAAGTATATAAATCATCCTGTGGTTGAACATGAATGTTGTAGTTTCTTAGTTTCTTTTCCAAACTTGTATGTGTTGGATGTCCTGGCTTTATGTAATTCTATAGCTATGGAATTAGATTCAGGCAATGGAAAATTGCTGTAGAGCATATGTTGCTTTGAACTAGACAAATAGTAAATTTATGTTCAGATTTAACTGTAAATAGGAGTGCCTGCAAGATGCTGTACAACTGGGATGAATGAGTCCAGTCTAGTACTATTGCTGAAAACTTTTTCATCATCATCAATGGGAATTGGGTAGAGCTGGTGCCCGGAGAAAAGTTGAAAGTGAACAGAGATACTTGCCCAGTGGGTGGTTCTGATGGACATGGGAAAGGGGATGAATCTCCAGAAGCAGATGATCAGGATCAGAACAAGGAGTTGTCGGGCAATATGGACAGAACAGCTGTAAGGCTGCAGTTTTGGAGTGGGAGAAACTTCATCTGGAGCTAAGGGTCTGAGAGTGAGTGATGCTTCAGCCTGAAAATACACTATGAAGTGAAGCTGCAGATATTGCACCAAGACCAAACTAAGATGAGAAGCTTTCATCTTAAACACTCTGACTTCTGCTGTGTTAAGACAGCTTTATGAAGGATTTGGGCTGTTGACTGTGTGTGTGTGTGTAAGGGGGGTGGTGGTAAGGTTTTAAGGTATATACAGTTTGTCAGGTTCTGATTGCACTACTTGTTAGGAAACAAATAAAATACTTGATTTAAAACTTGAGACAGCTAACAAAGTGGTTGTGTGGGTCCCCAAAGGAGATGACAGGGTCTCCGTGACCGTAGTAGTGCTGTATGCTACTTGTTTAAGGGTTTTTTCTACTTCCCATCACTGGACTAGGAGCACACTAAGGAGTTTATTGATCTCTGGGGGAAATTACATTGAATTGAGGTGCTGCTAGTTTTGACCCATAAAACAATGTATAGTCTTAGAACAGATTACCTGAAAGCCACTTCTCTTCTCGTGGCAGCATTATAGCAGTTAGGATCAGAGGATCTAACTCTGTGTCAGATGAATTTAAAGGGTAACTTGAGTGAAACATACTCCATAAACCAAGGAAGGGGAGGGAATGAACTCTACTTACTATCTAAGGACATATATATCTGCAGAGAATATCTGTTAATAGATTTCTGTTGCTTTTTATCTTGTTGAGGGAGGAGTATGTGAAGTTTGACTCTTCCTGGGCAAATAACTTTAGAATTCCATATGAGCCTCTGGAGTAACATTTGCTTAGCCAGCATGCCCAGAATTTTCTTCAGTTTTTAGACTGAGGATTGCCTGACAATACATGTGAGGTTGGAGGTGGAGAATTAGGCAGTCACTTTTAATAACTATTTGTACCAGAGAGTGGGAGAAAACGGTCAATTGTACCTCAGGGTGATGTGGTGTGCAGTAAAAGAGTGCATGAGTGTAAACGTCAGCTGTCAATTGTGTACTTGTTTGCAATTTATAGCATTTAGTGTAGCTGAGTATTTATTAATGTTTTTTTCTGTATGTTGCCAGTAAAATGCACTTTCAAATTTGAGTTGAATGTGGAGATTTAAACTGAGAATAAATCATTAACAGGTGTTGAATGGAAAGGAATTCTCCTCCAGTCTCCAGAGAATTGTGGTGAAGGGCAGCAGAGGCTTTAATCACTTACTTTAACTGGTATTCCAAAGAATTTGGCAAGGACCAATGTTGGTTTGCAATGAGGCTAAAACAAGCTCTAATAGTCTGAAGCTATTATATGATTTCTAAAACCTAACCAGTGAAATCTTAAACTCGATGGTGATTTGTTAAGTTAATTTAGATATAAAAGCATTACGAAAGACCTGTGATTTTTTTTTTCTTCTTCTTCTAGATCCAAGAGTGGAAGGCTTCCCACTCATGTCTTCACCTGTGCCACAGACTATTATCATTGGAGCCTATATTTATTTTGTAACATCTTTGGGGCCAAAAGTCATGGAAAACAGAAAACCTTTTGAACTCAGGCCAATAATGGCATTTTACAATTTTGGTGTAGTAGCCCTCTCAATTTATATGACTTATGAAGTAAGTATCTCTCTGTAATTACTTGTTTAACTTTAATGTACAGTGATTGTTAAATGTCTACACTTTTTTGTCTGTTACTAAATCTGTAATATGGCCTAAGAAAAATATTGTGTGCTTTTTCTTGAAGAGATTCTCCTTAATCTGTTATGCTAATTGTGGCGCGCACGCACGCAGAGAGAGAGAGAGAGGCCGGTGGGGACAATCTTCCCCTGCTGCATCTGGGATGGGCGGGGGGAAGTGAGGAGCGTGGGGATTTTGCCCCTTTTTTTGCTCAACCAGTTTGGTCTCCCGGGTGTGGGGGTTTTTTTTTGTTTGTTGTTTGTGTGTTGTTTTTTGCCATGTTCAGGATTTTTGGTGACAGCATCTGGCAAGCGTCACTCTTACTCAAGAGGGTAACTGTATATTTTATATTACAGAAACAATAATAGGAAATGTTAGCAGTCTAAATACTTTCCAGGTTTTAGGTTTAGAACTTCTCTGGACAAGGAAGGTTGAACTAGACTAGAAGGTTTTTGGTTAGCATGTGATAGAATATGTAGAGTTTTTTTTGATGCTGCAGAGGGAATGTTTAAATGCAAGATCCTCTTCAATTACTTTTTGTTTTTTAAATTATCTTTTTATTTACAAAATTTAGTCTAGGATCTCAATCCATGTAAAACAAGGTTTTTAGAATAATTAATACAAAAAATCTTTCTAGAAGAGTTCTGGAGTATTATTTTCCCCCTCTACTCACGGCTCCACAAAAAGCAAGGGTTTTAGAAGAAAATAATTTTTTCTTATGTGACCACAGTTAAGTGATGCTTCTGTGAGATGCACTTGGGTTTATTACCGAGGAAAATTAAATTTCTCCAAGGTGCATGATGTGCATGTACCAATAGGCATTTAGAGTTAACTTTTAAACTGGCATTTTGTTAAGCGTGTAAAGAGGTTAAATTATGACACTGTTGCAATAAACACTATGGCTATTCAGCAATACTACAAGCAACTGCCTGATAGTTTTTCTACAATAAGCCAGCTGAAACAACAGTGTTGTGGTGGTAGCTATTTTCATCTTTGGCATATTGGTTAAGAAATTATTTAGATGCTGCTGCCTAATTGGCTGTATTACTTTTAACCCAGATCCCATAACGTTTATAATGGATTAAACTGAGCTTTTGCTTTTAAAAATGGTGCTCCAAAGTCTCTTTCTATTTGCCTTTTAAAAAAGAAACTAACAAGTTGACTAACAGTTGTGCCAAATATCATAAATGCAAAGAAGGATGAAAAGTATGCTTTCCTTTTGCATTTCGTGCTTCGACAGACCTTGTTAGTGTTGTGCTGTTTTTATCAGTATTTAAAAAATAAACACTCGCCTCTTTCACTTTTGACGCTAACATATTTGACTTACCTACCATTATGCCTTTATTTAAAATGTCACAAAAGAATGCATACATAGTGAATACCAGATTGAATTTCAACCATTCTCTGGCTTCCAACAAAAAGCTAATTCTTTTCCTTATTGGATATAAGCCATTTTATGGGTGTGTTGGTATTATGTTCACTTACAATGTTTGAAATCCTGTTGGTTTCAGCATCTGATTTGTTAAATGGGTAATCTTTTACTTGTCGCCTTCAATTAATACTTGATTGAAACTATAACTGTTCGCCTACCCAGAAAACTTGGCTTCCTATTATTCATGCATGGACAACTATGATTACTTGACAAATATTCATTCAACAAAAGTGGAGTTTTTATAGTCTTGGCTGGGATTTGGAGAGGATGCAAATAAAGTGTAATGTTTACAGTGCTGCTGTTAGCTGAGTTTTAATATAGTAAGGAGACGTATTAGATGTGACACCTGGTACAATCCATGGATGCTATACATCTGCATGTGATTTCAAGACAGCTTCCCTTATCTTCTGACAGTTATAGTCTAACTTGCATCACAAAGTATATATTTTTGACAAGGACTTGTGATACTTTTGGTACCAAATATAAAGTCTGGTGCCGATTGTTATTTAGTCCTGCTTTTGACTACAAACAACCAAACTTATTCAAACAGTTGATAAATTAGAGGTTGTAAGTTTAGTTGGATGTTTTAAATAGATGAGAAAAAAATCCAGCAGAACATGTTTTACTTTGGTAAAACCTTTTTTTTTTTAATTGCCTTTTATGGGTTTTTGGTCCCCTTTCCTGGAATTATTGCAGATAGTTTTTTATATCTATGTGCAGTTCAACCTGACGAGAATTGGCCAAAATAATTAAGTGGAATAGAGGATATCTGGCAAATGTACAATTCTGTGTGGACTTAATAGCTTTAAAAAAGCCCCAAAAGCTTTCAGATGCTAATTCTTTTTCCTAGGAGTTCCCACTCCTCTCACATGGTATTATTTTATTACACTGGCTGGTCACAATTGCATGCTGAACAGGCTAAATTGTAATACAGAGATTTAATTTGTTGAATTCCCTGATCCTATGTGTATTTCCATTTTTTGTAGAAAAATCAAAGAACTGCATTACTTTACTTCTAAATCATTTGAAAGTGTGGCTCTGTTAATATGTGACTCTTTAAAATTATCTTGCATATCAAAATGCCTGGATTCAATACTAGGGATATAAAATCCTATTTAATTAGTTAACTGATTCAACTTAACATTTAACTGGTTAACTGATTAAACGGGGCTGTGCTGGAGCAGACCCCATGCATGGCAGGGAGAGGCTGCTCCAACCAAGCTGCTTCTGACCCTATGCTGGACTGCATGTGGCCATGGGGTGTGGGAGCTGCTCCTGGGTAATAATTAACCGTTGCTTGGTAACTATCACTCCTTAATGGTGATGGTTACTGGGTGACTGGTTAAAGGGTTATCTGTTCACATCCCTATTTAATACCAATACTTTTTTTTGATCGTTCATTTGTTTCACCTGCTTCCCATAGTGAGAAGAGAAACATTAATCTAATGTCTGTTTGGGGGAGCAGCTGTTTCTTCTTTCACAGCACTGAGGTGTAGGTATGATGAAATGTGGAGTGTGAGTTCTTCTCCATATTGTCAAGTTATGGGATTCTAATCTCTACAGAGCTGCAGCAGCAGCAGTATCACAGTGTTGCCATCCCATATTGAGGAAGATGATGGCTGGTAAGCTGGCTGGATCCACAGGCTTTTTAATGTTTACATGATTAAAGTCAACTGAAATTAATGAATTTTCTCAAGTGATAAGCTAAACCTTTGCTCTCCCCTTTCTCCTTGTCACAGTTTCTTATGTCTGGCTGGGCCACGGGTTATTCATTCCAATGTGACCTTGTTGACTACTCCAGGTCACCTACAGCTCTGAGAGTAAGTAAACAAACGAAGCTAATTGTTATGCTACATTAATTTTTATTATTCTGGAATGCTTTTAAGTGTCTTAGAGTTTCATGTGCTGCATAAAATGCCTTGATGCATAATAAAGAGCAGCTAAGTAACTATAGTGATAGAGATGCAGTCGTGTTAGTCTGGTCTAGCTGAAACAAAAGAAAGAACTATGTAGCACTTTAAAGACTAACAAGTTGGTTTATTAGATGATGAGCTTCCGTGGGCCAGACCCACTTCCTCAGATCAATATGTGGAAGAAAATTGGCACGACCATATATACCAAAGTGATACAATCAAAAAAATGAACGCCTGTGAAATTGACAAATCAAATTTTAGAACAGAGTGGAGGTGAAGGGGGAAGGTTAGGGTCTGTGAGGTAATGACATAGTGGTGATAATAGGGGAAGTTTCTGTGAGGTAATAAACTTCCCCTATTATCACCCCATGTCATTACCTCACACACCAACCTTCCCCCTCACCCCCACTCTGTTCTAAAATTTGATTTGTCAATTTCACAGGCGTTCATTTTTTTGATTGTATCACTTTGGTATATATGGTCGTGCCAATTTTCTTCCACATATTGATCTGAGGAAGTGGTTCTGGCCCACGAAAGCTCATCATCTAATAAACCATCTTGTTAGTCTTTAAAGTGCTACATAGTCCTAAGTAACTATAAACAGTGATGGCAGGATGAAAGGGATGTTGGCAGCAACATAAGCTTGTAGAGTGGATTGATTAAATCAGTGAGGAAGCCTTAAATAATGAAGATTTAAATCATCAACTTTTCTATTCGTCAGTTATATATATATATTTTTAAAGATGCATTTTCATTGCTTGATATAATCATTGTAATGTTGGCTTATAACTAAATAGAACTTTTATGCTAAATTTGGTACATCTTTTTCTACCTAGAACTACATACATTAGTAAAAAAAAAAAAAAGCCCCTAATACAATTCATGATATATTGTGCCATATTTATAAAACTTGACCCCAAAAATCAAATGTTTTTCCTCAGATTGTCTTGTTATGGAAAAATAGCTTTTAACTCAAAGGTTTTGATAGATTCATGGATTCAGCGTATTTATTTGTTGTTTTAAGATATTATAAAAAAGGGTAGACTTTAACATTTTTGTGTTCCATTCAGATTTCATTTAAACCATTTTTTTTTGTTTAAACTATCCACTCTGGCTTAACTTTATAATGTGGAATTGAATGTCTGCTGATTAAACATTAATTTTGCTTCTTTGTTTTTAAAGAAAACCAACAAAAATGTTCTAGTGACTTGATCAGACTTGACCCTGTGAATCTTTTTGATTCCTTAGATGCTTCGGACTTGTTGGCTATATTACTTCTCCAAGTTCATTGAATTATTAGACACTGTAAGTATATAGTGATCCTACCAGGTAAATTCTGTGATCTCCATAGAGAAAGAAGGACATTTGTTTGTATGTTTTGTCTGTCATATCTAACCACTGTATCCTCCTCTTTCTGGGTGCCCTCTTCTCCCTGCTCTTGCTATCTCACTGTACTCTTCTCATTCCCATGTTTATTCCCATCCATTGTATTCTCCATTTGGAATGTTTTTTATCTTTGCTCCCTTAACAGTTTCTCTCAGCAGATTGATGGGCATTTACTATGGCAGCACTATATCCATAGAGAATATCCACATTCAGCCATCTAAATATTGTTGCACCTTCCTTTTCACATATTTTGGCAGGTGTTGTCTGTGTAGTGCTTTTAACATACCAAGTGCTAGACAGTCTTTCTTTAGTCCTTCTGTACAGTCATTTGCTGGTCTTGGCTTTCTTTAGTGCTTCTAAACCTGTTATACTCAGAACTTAAGAGTCTAAAATACTCTGACCGGACAGTTTAATCCTGGAATTGACACCCTCTTTCCTGCACACTTTATTACTTTTACTGGCTTCATAGCCATCCCTGAATCAGTTTGCCTCTAATTTTATGTCCATGTGAAAATGAATTTTATGTGCAGCAGTATGGGTGTGATATAGTGTAAAAGGGGTATCAGGGTTGGGAGGATGAGGGCTCTGGCTGAGGGTGTGGACTCTGCGGTGGGGCTGTGTATGAAACATTTGGGGTGCAGGTGGGAGTTCAAATTCCTTGGCACCAGCCTGGGAGTGCATGAGGGGGCTCAGGGCAGGAGGCTGGAATGGAGGTGCAAGGTCTGTGCAGGAGTGGGTTTGGGGCTGGGGTATGGGGGTCTAGGAGGCAGCTAGGATGATGGATGGGGCTGGGGGAGGGGATTGAAGTAGCTCTGGATTGGTGGCAGGGGAACAGATGGCTCTCTGCTGCCCCGTACTCACCTGCAGCTCCCATTGGCTGCAATTCCTGGCCAATGGGAACTGTGGGAGCAGAGCTTCCCAGCGCTCATGGCGATACTTCAGCTGGGGAAGAGGATCGGCAGTGAGCAGAGCTACCTTCCTCCTCCTGCCAGGAAGGAATGGCCCAGAACACAGGGGCTTTAGCAGCAGCAGCCCCTAAAGCCCCTTTCTTAATCCAGTCCTGCTGCTGGGGTTGAAGGATCACATTTCTGCACCAGGTGTGGCAGCTCTGAGTGCAGCAGCCCTGAGCTGCTGTATAGGGTTTATTAAGCTGCTTCACAGCCTAGAAGGAATGTTGCCCTGCATGTATAATTTAAAAGTGCCTTTCAGGACTCTGTGGATTTATTTCATTCAACCCTCTGATTTCACGTCCAGCTCTTCATCCTTCTGCACAGTCATTTGCTGGTCTTGGCTTCTTAAATTCCTTCCCAGAAAATGACCACTATAAAATGGGTGTCACTTTGATTTAGATTGCTTCATCTGTAATTGACTTCCTCAATAAGTCTGTTGAAAACCATGCTTCTCTTGCTTACAGTTCTTCCTAAAGCCTGTCTACATGTAAGGCTTCACATCAGTTCAATTTTGCATAGAATGTTTCTCATTCATAGATCTCAAGGGCTTTGTGAAGGTGAAATACCATTAACCCTTGTACAGATTATCAGTTGAAGCTTGGAGAGGTAGAGGGTCTGATTTTTAGACCCCTAGTACAATGAAGAAATACTGAACCAGCATGGATATAATTTTGAATTCCTTGTATAGACAATTTTGTAATTCTGAAGATAGGGTCCTAGAAGGAAAGAGAGTTGTGGTCTACTGGCTTGAGGTTGGAACTAGGAGCTGAGAAGTCTGAACTGAAAATTGATCAGAAATGCTGATCTTCTGCAGCTTGCATTGTTTGTAATAGAAGTTAGATTATTCAGTGCCTTTGAAAATCAGCCCCTCAATCTGTAACTCAGTTTCCACATAGATAAATGAGGGCATAATTGTAAAGAATTCTAATATACTATAGTGAGTACCCTATGTTTGTGTGTACAACTAATTGCAAACAAACTACTTGTACGTGACTTGTCTAATATTTTATTCTTAAAACTATTTCAGATTTTTTTTGTTCTGCGAAAGAAAGAGAGCCAAATTACATTCCTGCATGTCTTGCATCACTCTATCATGCCATGGACCTGGTGGTTTGGAGTCAAATTTGCTGCAGGTAGTCAAGAGAGCTGGAAGTATACTACATGTGTAGTAATAGTGAAACCTCCATGTTATATACATGAAAAAAAAAACTTGTTAATTTAAAAAGTCATAATTTGTATCTACTAGAGTTACAAGTAAAGTCCAAAGATTGCTATATGTGAGCTAGATTATAAGGGCAGGAGGAATCTTCCAGTTGGGTCACTTGACAACATATTGTGCATAGCTGTTTTCCTCTTTTGTGGGGGGTTGGGGTCGGCAAGGGGCAGAGGGGATGGCATACCAATGGGTAGGTTATGGTTTTAGGGAAATACAATTGTAAAACCCAGTGGGGCAATTATTAAAGTGCTTTATTAACCTAATTAAAAAAATGTGAATAGATTTCATATTGACATTGTCCCCTGCAACACAAAAACTTAATCAGAGGGGAGAGTTGTTTTCTCCTCATTCTCTGTCTCTCTAGCTTTAATTTATAAATTGTTCTAGTTTTGTTGCAGCTGTTTGACTCGTTGTTGGGAGTACAACATAGTAATGTTTCCAGAACTAATTAGATATAGTGATACATATCTGTGGAAGGCCAAATACTTAAATGATAGGGAATGTCAGGCCAGATAGCATCCACAGGTGGGAACTGGGAAAACCTCATCAATGTCTTTGTATTCGCTTATTACCCTAACCTTACCCATCTTTCATCTCTTCTCAACAGTCTTTCCACAGAGCAGAAATGACAAAAGTCCAGAAAGAGCCTTGCATCAGAGACTTGTAGAATGCACGGTCTTCCTAACCTGGCGTTCTACAGTGCAATTGACTCTGAGGGTGGTATATGATTCTTCAGCTTGCATATATATGCCTACAGTAGCTGGATGAGTGCTAGTGCACATATATGTATTAACGTTACTGTAGTCAGCCAGGCAGTGTTGGGCATGGCTTGCCATGGAGAGTACAAGCATTCCTGAAAATAGTGGGTACATACTAGCTAAATTGTGCTGCTGCCACTACCCGTTGTACTGCAGTGATGATATTACTTACTTTTGTGCTAGCTCTTATCAAGCTACTGCAATTATGTATGTGAGCTGTGGAATCATAGCCTAAAAAGAGCGTACAAAGTGAAATCTGCTGAGAGAATGCAAGCCAGTTGGAACCTCTGTTGTGATAGTTTATTGGTACTAATGGTGGCATGTCGGGAAGTGGTGATTAGTTGAAAAATCAACATAGATAACGGAAGTACTTATTAGGGACATTAACAAATGTGGGTTTTTTTGTAAATATGTAACGGCTGGATTTTTTTAGCGGTTACATATTTACATATAGAGAGGGCAGGAGAGAGCAGGCTTAGAAGCTGGCTTCCCAAGAGCACTAGCTCCTGCCTGCCCCCATCCCTAGATGCAGCCTCTGATACAGAGGTAGCAGTGTGGGAATGGAGGGGCGGGGACAGGAAGCTCTGCCGGAGCTGGTATGTGCAGAGAGCCAGCTTGAAAGACAGCTTGGTGCATGTACCAGCTCCCACCTGCCTCTGCCTCCACCCCCACCCGCTGCGCTGTTGCCTCTCTATCAGAGACAGCAAACGGGAGAGGGGGTGTTACGTGTAACCATTAAGATGAGCCCAGGCTTATCAGTTAATCATGTAACTGCGTATACGCTAACATCCTTACTACTTATCTGTTCTTAGTTTCCTGTTCTGTAACATCTTGCTCATTTTCATTGGCATTGGTATTTTTCTCCACAGCTTTGATGCTTAATTGAAGGAGAAAACCTTTGCCTACTTTATCCCTACTGTGTATATTAGTTGCATGCATACAAAAATATGCCCTGAAGAAGGTACAAAAGTTTTGCATGGATTCCATGGAAAATTGTCTAATGTGCAGCAAGCTAATGAAGTAGACTGCTTTGTTTCTATTGTATCTGAATGCAGTTTGTAATAATATAAAAAAAAATCTTATGTTTTGAACTGTATCCTTTTCCCCAAATCTGTGGTATTCTAGTACTAAAATTGAAGTTGCCTTTCTCAGTTTATAAAGCAGACCATTTTAGATGTATTTATTATAAAACATATTAATCTGGTATTCCGAGCTCTTAACAACAGCAGCCCCCTCAAAAAGATTACACTACTCATAATTTCCTTTCCTGTAGCGGGGGCTTTAGAACAGTGTGCCAGTTGTGTACTTGTTCAGTGACAAGCCATTTCAAACATCTTCTGTGTGGTCATTTGGCAAATGCTTTCCACAAAGTGGTTCCACTTGAGTCAATAACACTCCTAATCCTAGAACATTGTATTTCTTTCTCAAAACTTTATTGCCTATCTTTAACCTAATCTTTCCAACTGTTGTCTTCTTTGGTACCTTAAAATAATTTCTAAGAATTTACCATGAATGTTCACTATCCAGCTTAAAACAAGTAAATTTAGTCTTAAAAAAAGCAGTCAAATAGTTTGGGAACATGTGGCCTAGAAACAACTTGTCAGAGAATTTCCAATTGAAACTGGTAATCTGTGAAGGAAGAAAGCTCTAACAACTGCTCTAATTTTTAATAAAGGAGACATTTCTTTTACCCTAAATTGTACCCTGGTTTTGATACATAATTACTTGAACCAAGAAATTTTTTCCCTAAAATTGTCTGTTTTCTCATGGATTTCTCACTGAGAAATGTAGAACTTTAGTATTTGACTTTCCACCAAATAATCAAAATGTTTTTCCCCTCTCTCTGTAAGCTATTTTTTGATCAGCTATATTTACAACTCAATTCACTTGTTAAATATTACTACTGTGGTCAAGATAACTTAACCTTACTGGAAAAGTGAACAGAAAAAAACATACTGGAGAAGGAAATATCTGCATGGATCCTCTCTATAACAACGAGTTTCTTCATTGTCATTCCATTCAATGGGCTTGATCCTAAACCTGAGGGTTATATGGGTGTCTAAGGTTACATACCTTGAGGTCCCACACCTCTGACCCTTAGTTCTTCCTTGGTCCTGGGAACATGGGTCCTCTGGAGTTGGGCCTGGACAGTGACTCAAAAAATAGAGTAGAGCCATGAGTTGTACTACTTTTACTGTTAACTTCTAAGGGCTAGAGGTAAGATTGCTACATAGTTGCAGCCCCTGGACTCATGAAAAGCCATTCATGGGATCTAGAAAAGAAGTGGAGCAGGAAGAATAATGCCACAGAGATGTTTGAGCCCTTGTCATGCAACTTCCTAACAAAAAATTTGTTTGCATTGTTAGACTAATTACAACTTTGGAAAATTGACTTACAAGCAAACATAAGCAATCTTTTACTAGGGTAGTAACTAAAACATTTACATGAGGATTTGCTGAGAAAAGGGGGCACTGCTGAAGTACTTCAGAGTTGGTGGCTAAAAAGCTTAATTTGAAACTTAATATATTATGTCCTAGTGAAAGTCAGATCTCCCATAGAACCTCGCTCTTTCATCTAGTTTTTTACTTAACTAACTCAAGGCAAAACCCTCACTTGATAGCTAGACACAAGGGTTTTGGCTTTTTGTTGCAACAGTTGATCCTTTAAAAATTGATAATTATATATTTTTATTGTTTATTCCACAGGTGGATTAGGAACATTCCATGCTCTATTAAACTGTGTTGTGCACGTCATCATGTACACCTACTATGGACTCTGTTCACTGGGACCAGCCTACTATAAATACTTGTGGTGGAAAAAACACATGACATCTATACAGCTTGTGAGTATTATGTCTGACAGATCTTTTCTCAGTCAGTCAGTTGTATTTAAGTGAGATTTCTTAATGTTTCTTCTATGAATGTGGTTAAGAATTCTTTTTACAATGGTACAAAAGAGTTTTACTTTGATTCTTTGACTGAGTTCAGCAGAAAGCTTGAGACTAGTCAACTGTATAAATAGCATCTGTTGACCTGATTTCCAGAGTCTGGAGAACTCAGTTATCTCTGAAATCAGTGTGAGTTGTAGACACCCACAGTATTTAATTACAGTAAAACTCCATTGGTCCGGCATCTGACGGTCCGGCACTCCTGATGGTCCGGTACCATCAGGAACCCAGAAGTGCTCCGCAGCCAGACCATTGGAGCTGCTCTGCCCCCAGCTTCCCCTATTCAGCCCGTGCTAAAACTGACCAGTGGCTGAATCGGGGAAGCTGGAGGCAGAGCAGCTGGGGCGCTGCCGGGTAGGTCCCCTAGCACTGCCCCTGGGGGCTGCGGAACCAACCCGGCAGCACCCCAGGCGTCCTGATTCAGCCGCTGCTGAAATTGACCAAGAGCTGACTCCAGGGCTGACTCCAGGAAACCCGAAGCAGAGCTACTCTGCCCCGGGCTTCCTGGAGTCAGCTCTTGGTCAATTTCAGCAGCGGCTGACTTGGGGACGCCTGAGGCAGAGAAGCTGGGATGCTGCCGGGTTGATCCAGTAGCGCCAAGGAGCGGCGCTGCGGGACCAACCCAGCAGCACCCCAGCTGCTCTGCCCCAGGCGTCCCCAAGAGCAGCTGGG